TCTTCTTTCCTCATTGCGCCCTCGCCTCTCTTTCCCTCAATCCCTCTCTATGTTATTGCTCTCTGCTGTTCTGTTCTCTTCTGTTCTCTTCAGCGACGGCAGCAATGTTGTCCTTTCCCAGTCAGTCTGTCTGCTGTCGGCTATATGAGGAGGAAAGTGGAGTAGTGAACACACTGCTGTTGTTGTAAAAGCTGGTTCACTTGTGTCTCTGACTGTCAGTCAGTTAGTGCTAGTGGCGGTCTGTGTGTTTTCCTGCCACTGTGATCACACCACCACCACCATCAGCATCACCATCAGCAGTTTTCACAGGTGAAGGCTGCAGACACTTGCCATTTCCTCCCGTCCACTAGAACATCGTCGAACTTTCTTCTCATTGTTCCATTTTATTTTACTGCCTTTTCCATTTTCTATCCTTTTGTTTACCATTGCCAGTCAGCATCAGCACTAAAAGCAGCTTACGTAATAATCAGCAGCAAAAGCCTTTACCTTGCTTTAATCACTTCTGCACCATCATCATCATCGTCATCGTCAGCTTCTCACTTACTGCCTCACTGCTTTTCTCCCTTCAACAGAATCAGTCTTAATCAAAACAGGGGAAACACTGCGTCACATCGACTGGTCGCTGGGGACCCTGGGGGCACGATTCTCCTCTGCTTAGCTCTACTTTGCCTTTGAAGAAGTCTCACCTTGCTCTTTGTCAGTCGGTCGGCGACGAGGATGATGATGGTCGAGCGGTCGAAGAGCTTCAGGAGACCTTTCGCATCAGCAGTCTGCTGAACTTGAAGCAAGCAGCACTTCATGCAAATGTGAACCACCGCCTGGTGCGAGAGAGGACATTCTCGCCGTCTTCGTCGTCTTCTCATTATCGGCGCCCATCACCGGCGACCACACTGCATCAGCCATCACTGCTTCTACCACCACCACCATCGCCGCTTACTTCACCATCTCTTATCGGCGGCAAGAGAAGAATTTTCCCACATTTTCCCTCACATTGCACTTCGTCTGCTTCTGCTGCAGCAGTCGCCGTTTTTTCCATCAGCCGCGTCCAAGAAGAAGAAGAAGTGCAGCGAAAGGGAAGCAGTGCAGCAGCAGCTGCCCACTGTCTGCTGTGCACATCAGCACAGTTTAGCTTTCACCGCCGATGCAGCCGACCAACACACCTTTACCCCTTCAGACTGTTTCACATGCCTTCACTTGATACCTCTCTCCTTCTCTCACTTTCGCTTACCTCCTCCTCCTCGTCAGGCCACTAATCTGACGTAAGCCATATACGGCAGCTCAAAAAGACTCTCTGAGAGCTTACATCAAGTGCTGTCTCCGGTGCTTTTATATATAATTGCTGAAGAAATTCCACTGCCCCCTCTCTCTTTCAGCTTATTATTCTTTCGCCATCCTGCTCATCCAATGACTGCTTTGCTGCCCTTTTACAACAGCAACAGTCTCAAGACAATCAACCACACCGACAACAAGTGCTCCCTTTCTTCCTTCTCCTCTTCCGAAACACCGTCAGGAACTTTGAACTTCTTTTCCCCCTCACCTTTTCGACGCATTTGCATCTTTACACAGGCACTCACTCCCCAGCCGTCTTTCGTTTACTGACTGACGCGACAACAATAAGCCCGAATAAGCGAGTTCTTTTTTATGTCACCCCTAAAGAAAGAGAAGGACCACTGACCATTAGCTCAACCTGCATCATCACTGCCAACAACGACCACTACTTTTGTATTCTTCTCTCTCTCTCCCTTTTCTCTTTTCTCCTTCTATTCGTCGACCTGTCGAGGGAGGTATTAGTGGTAGTAGTGGTGGTTGCGTGCACGGTTCAGCAGTGCTGAACACACAGCGAACAGACGGCAACAACACGCTCAACAGCTTCTACTTCTTCTCCTTCTTTGCCTTTGGAAGCAGCAGCGAGGGAGACGACTGGCCCTGCCGCGCCAGTGCTCGGCAACGACTCCACTGGAATGTCTGAATGAGCGAACAGGAGAAGTACACATCACAACACATAGTCACTTCATTGCCTGTCTGGTCACATACCTTCCCTCGCTCACACACTCTCTCCCTGTGAAGGCCCCAATGTGCGTAAGAAGCGTCCGTCTTCCACTCTGTCTTTCACTCACCGCCGACAACCACGACGACGACCCAGCCCTCGGCACTGCTCCTGCACTGTTGCTGCCCTAGGACGCTTCTTTCATCATTCGCTCTTGGTGGCAGCGGTGGACGGCGACGACGATTCTGTGACGTTTGTTGTTGTTGTTGACGTCGTCCTTCTTGTCGAACTGAAGACGTTTGCTGAGCTCAGTCTGTGTATGCCACCGATGTGATATTTCATCATCGCCATCATCCTCATTTTCACCTCCGACAGCACTTTGGCAACATCACCTCAGCAAACATTTGTGATGGCCACCGAGGCGCTAAGCTTTAGCAAGAGTGCTTCTGCAGCTGCGGCAGTTGTGGCAGCGACAGCAGCAGCAACTGGAGCTTCATCAGCATTGTCGCTTCGCAACAGCAGCGGGATCGGCAAGCACAGTTCATCCTCATCTCCACATCGGCATTCGCTCATTGCCATTAACCACAATATCAACAACAACAACAACAACATTCAGCAGCAGCAACACCATCACCAAAGAACACTGTCTGCCGAGCTTCGACGCCAGACCTCAGGTCAGCGGCACCAACAGCGACACCAGCAGCTGCAGCAGCATCATCATCAGTTGCAGAAGCAGCACTCGGAGCCCCTGCTGCTGCTGCCACCACCAGACTGTGGAGAGTTGTCGGGTGGATGCGGCAGTGGCAGTGGCAGCGAGTCCACCGCCAGCAGCACCGACAACTGCACCGGTGGTGGAACTGCGCACAGCTGCTCTGGCGGAAGTGGCAGCAGCAGCTCCAGTAGCTCCAGTCCGATCAACTCCTCGACGATGGTGACCACCTGTGGTACGACGGTTACCGCCACTGTCAACAACAGCAGCTCAACCGGGTCAGTGGTCGGCAACAACTCCTCCGCCGGCGGCTGTACGCAGGCAGAGCTGCCCAGTGCCAAGATCGCCGCCTCACTGACCACAGCATCTCAGCTGGGCCCGCTAGTTCAGAATCACCAATCGACCAATGCCAATACCAGCCCTCACCAGCCGCAGCCACCTCAGCACAGTCATCACCACAGCAGTCACTCCCACTCACATCGGCGGACTCATGAGGCGGCGACGGCGGCGAGCAAGATGCGACTCACAGGTGAGTGACCTTACCCGTGTTCTTTTGTTTGCAATTGCACTGCTTTAAAGTGAAAAGTTGCCCTAGCAGCAGCATCAGGCGCCAGGTAGTGTTTTCCAGTTGCAGCTCTGCAGTCGTTGACGATTTTCTAATTAGTTTTAGAGGAACGACAAGAGGAGCGATTCGATTTCTGCTGAGTTGCTAAATACTGCGAAATGAGCGAGGTGATTGGCGGTGGCAGTGTAATTTTACAATGGTTAAAAGTTTTACGAGGCTTTTAGTGTGTGAGTATGTTTGTGTACTGTAGTGTACTCCAGTGAGCAGTTGTCGGTAATTGGGCTTCGGCACACACTGCTGTTGCTGCTGTAGACGAGATGCTCTTTCCATGTGTGTTCTTTTAGCTTCGCTTGGCGGCCTCACAGTGTGTGTTTGGGTGAAAGAGACAGCAAATGATGGCACTTTAATGCGATTCGAAAGTTTTTGAAAGCGGCGGCGGTCTAATTAAAAGCGTCTGCGTGTCCGGCGTTCCATCGTTGTCGGTTTTACGAGCCTTTCCACAGCGGAAGAGGCGCCCACTTCAGCTCACTTAAACTCACTCTCGAGGTGAGTCAATTGGACCGTACGCCCGACGGAGCGTGTGTGCCCTGAATGCCTAATTGCTGCTCAGTTGCGCCGGATCCGCTTAGCCTCTTCTTTCGGTCATTCACGCTTTGTATTTAGCCTTTTCTAAATTAGAATATATCCTTTTTTCTCCCTCCCTCACTCGCTATCGGACACTGACAGTGCTGGTAATTTCTTTGAATGAGCTCCATCAGTAAAGATGGATGGCTCTGGCTATCATTTGTGACTTCGTGTGTGAGCTTATTGATCGACAGTTTACCTTTCGGTTCAGTGACACTTTTCATATGGCTTCTTTTGAGGATCGCCCAGTCCTTTGGCGGCAGCGGCGGCGGCGGCAGTAAGCCCTCTTTTTTCACCCGACTTGACTTTGAATTGTGCAAATGCACACAGAGACTGAGTGCACACTTGATCTTTTAATTGCCAGCTCAAGGAAGGCGTCCATTGAAAGTAAACCGTGTGAGAGAACGAGAAAGATGGAGAAGCCAAATCGAGGAACGGTCTCGCCGACGCTGTGCAAACTGCTGCTTTGCCTTTCTTCTTCTCCTTCTCTCCATCTCGCGTTTTTGCTCGCCATTTTTGCTCTGTAATCGTCGTCTCTGCAGAGGTCGTCGAGACTTTGATGTCATCAAGCAGTTGCGACCGCAGCAGCAGCAGCAGCCTGAACACACAGAGCTGTCCCTTTTGAATCACAATCAACGGGTGTGCCCGGTTGCTGTTGCTGTATTCAGTGCAGTGCAACAGCAGCTTCGAGCTTCGAGCTTTATGCTCGATGCTGCTGCTGCGTGGAGGCAACTATGGCGCTCAGGTGAACAGCAGAGACTACGCTGCTGTACATTGCGTTTTGCCTGCAGAGCGAGTGAGTGCTGCTCAATCTGCTGGCCGCAACTGCACACCACTGCCCAAATGGCACTGTCATTCGCATATGATCTCGATTATCGATGTCTGTCTGTCTGTGTTCATTTTGTGTGTTTGGGCTGGTCCGTTGGTCCGTTTGCTTCTTTCTCACCAATATATCTGTAGCTTCATCTGAGTGTGTGTGTGTGTTTAGTTCATTGCTCCATCCCTCGCCTTTTAACCTCGAACCTTTAAAGTGCTGTTGATGATTCTATTAATGGACTGTTTGTTTTTTCCAGTTGAAATTGTCAACTGTTTGTTGACTTTCGTTCTTGCTTTGATAGCTCGAGGTGATGTGTTCGGTTGCTGTAATATGGAGCACTATTCTGCTGATGATGCCTCTGCCGTTGCCGCCGTCGTTTCTTCCTCTATTCAATTACTCTGCTCCAATTAGCTTGATTAATATGAGAGAAGTGTTTGTAGTGTGTGGATTTTCGGAGTAAAACCGCCTGCTTGGTTAGTTAACTAACTCTATCCCGCTGTGTGCGATGTTCTGTTCTGTTCTGCTCTCTATTGTCTCGCCTTCTCGCCTCTGCCTCTTTAATTGTGGGCTAATTGTCCGCTCTGTGTGTGTGTGTGTGCTCTGCCTAATTGTCTCCTGCTTTCTCTCTCTCTCTTTTCTCCAGTGTTTTCTGCCTGGGGTCAAGTAAAGTCAATAGTGCGTTTTGATTTCGCTCTCACGGAAGGTGAGAAAGTGTCTGTCTGTCTGTTCTCTTTCCCCTCGGTCACTGTGATTTATCAGCGAACTTGGCTGGCAGCAGTTTTTCAGCAGCAGCGATGATGATGGCGGTGGTGACAAATGGCCCGTCAGCATCCTAGGGCAAAAGATCGTGTCTGGTCGACCTCCACAGTCTACTAGAACCCACAGGCAGGCAAGCAAGAAAACGAACGTTTTTTTGATTGGTAATTTCCAGACGCACTGAGGTAATTAACTTCTCTTGTTTCTGTGGCTGCTTCCGTCGCTATCGATCTCTGACGCAGAACGGGTTTGCCGCCGCTGCTACTTCTGCTGCTGCTGCCGCCACATCAACTGATTAGAGTGTTTTCCATTTTCATCATTGGGTTTTCTCGCGCTTTCGCACTCTCTCTCCCCTCTGATAAAGAGAGAAGGGTCGTCTGTTTGCACTGTCTCTTTCCTCTTGCTTTGCAGTGCTAATCGCATCCTATTCATCAAGTCTCGCTTTATTTAATTTATTTCTGTTTGTGTTTGTCTATCTTCGATAGACGATGCAAATGTGTCTTATCTCTAAGCAATGAGCTTGCTGAAGAGCGGCTCCATGGCGGTGTACCACTGCTGGTAGCCAGCCTTCGTCAGGTGAATGTGGTCGGCAATGTACAGTGAGAGGTTCTGCTTCTCGTGTGACACCTCAAAGTGGGAGGTTAGGTCGAGGAAGTGGACGGTTTTCTGGTTGTTCAGCTTGGCCAGCTGCTGGTTCGCCAGGTGCACGTGGTGGTTGATGTTCACTCGAGGGAGGATGCTCAACAGGAGGACCTTCACGCCGGGGATCTTGGCTTCGAGGGCGTGGATGATCGCCTGGACGCCCTTAGCGACGTCCTCAGGGCTATCATGGTAGTGGATGTTGTTGGAGCCTGCAAANGTGGTTGATGTTCACTCGAGGGAGGATGCTCAACAGGAGGACCTTCACGCCGGGGATCTTGGCTTCGAGGGCGTGGATGATCGCCTGGACGCCCTTAGCGACGTCCTCAGGGCTATCATGGTAGTGGATGTTGTTGGAGCCTGCAAAGTTCAAAGTTTGGTTATTGCCAAAATATATCTATTTATGCTTTTTGATTTCTTACCGATAATGAGGACAACCAGCTTGGCCTTCACGCCGTCCAGTTCCCCGTGGGCAATGCGCCAGAGGACGTGCTCAGTGCGGTCGCCGTTGATGCCGTAGTTGTAGGCGTGTCTCGGGGCGTAGTGCTTGTCCCACAGTTCCTTGCCGTCGATGCCCCAGTGCTCTACGCTGGAGGCGCCCAGGAAGATGACCTTCTCCTGGGGGCCGTGCGCTTTGCTCTCCGCCACCAGCATCTGGTGACGGGCCTTGTGGTGGGCATCATTTCGCTCCTGAGCGATCCACGGATGGTGGACGCCCTCCTGGGCGCCGAGCAGCTTGGTAAAGAGCGGCTCCATGGCCTTCTGCCAGAGGACGTAGCCCTCCTTCACCAGGTGGATCTGATCGCCGACGTACAGCTTGGTGTTGATCTTCTCCGGACTTTCCTCGAAGACGTGCGTCAGGTCGAGGCTGAAGACGGTCTTGCGGTCCTCGTGGCGGGCGAGCAGCTTGTTCGTCTCGTGGATGACGTGGTTGTGGTGGCCGCTGGGCAGGATGTTCACCAGGATCACCTTGACGCCGGGAATTTTGGCGTGCA